CATAGCGCATAACGCATAACGCATATCGCTTATCGAAAACTCGAAACTCGAAAATCGAAAATCGCATATCGCGTTATGCACATAGCGCATAGCGCAAAGCGCGTAGTGTACAGCGCATAGCGCATAAGGCATAACGCATAACGCATAACGCGTATCGCTTATCGAAAATTCGAAACTCGAAAATCGAAAATCGCATATCGCGTTATGCACATAGCGCATAGCGCATAGTGCATAGCGCATAGCGCATAGCGCATAGCGCATAGCGCATAATGCGTATCGCTTATCGAAAACTCAAAACTCGAAAATCGAAAATCGCATATCGCGTTATGCACATAGCGCATAACGCATAGCACATAGCGCATAGCGTATAACGCATATCGCTTATCAAAAACTCGAAAGTCGAAACTCGAAAATCGCATATCACGTTATGCAAATAGCGCATAGCGCATAGTGCATAGCGCATAACGCATATCGCTTATCGAAAACTCGAAAATCGCGTTATGCAAATAGCGCGTAGCGCATAGCGCATAACTCATATCGTTTATCGAAAACTCGAAAGTCGAAAATAAGTTAACGGATATCCAAATTGATTTAAAAAAATTGGGACCTAATAGAAGATTGATTGATAAGAAAATGTTAATGACAAGATTTTAAAATGTCAAAAATTATTTTTAGCGTATAAGGATATTATTAGTAATTATAATCAACAAAATATTAGAATAGCAGAAAGAAAATATGTTTTAGGAACGTTACAGCAACGTATTGAATTAGCGTATAATAAAATTTTGAGTTATAAAGTTAATAATTGTGAACAGTATAAAATAAAAAGACGGCAACTTCTTTGATCCCCGTCATGGAGAATAAGGAGGAAACTATTGAAAAAATTATTGATGGAATTGAAATGTACGATAATTGTCTAGTAGATAATAATAATCACAAAAAAAATATTAATTTCATTTGTGTTAAAAACAAGATTAACTAAAACTGCTAAATTAATATTAAAAATAAACTTTTTAATAAAAAAAACAAAACCGACTTCCAAACAAAATACACTAAAAACAAAATATTCTCAAAATAAAAAACAGTATACTAAAAAGTAACGATACAATTCCTTGAAAATAGTAAACCTACCTTATTGTAACTGTTATGTCTATATTGTACAATTATTATTACTTTAATGTCGGTGTCAGCCGAGGTATGCAGTGATTTTGTTTATTTTATTTTTGTTTTTTAAGCTAGCTGTAAGTTATCCGTAAATAAATAAAATAAATAAATATTTCTACGTAAGGGTTTCCACATTTTTACCATAACAATTGACAAATTGAAAGTATAGTAACTGTGCCGTACAAACGGGATCGGGTCTCGCGGCACAACCTAGGGTAGGTTTGTCGTAGACCAACTACGATTGCACCGGAGGGCATAATATTGTAAACGTAAGGGGAAAATGGTACTTACCAGTTTGATGAATTGCCTCACCTCCTTCAGGTGCCTTGTCTCAGTCAATGTCAAACGAGTCAAAGTCTGGTTCAGTCAAGTCTATAGGCGATGCTGCCTGAAGTTGTACCAGTAATTTCGAACGCGAAACCGAATTTAGCGATCCCGTTCGCTACCGAAATCGACACCCCTGTTGTATCTTCGCGTTATACAAAGAGCAACTCTAATTCGCACAGTTGATCACGACCGTCTCACTTGGCTGCTCGATTCCGGCCTTTCCTTTCGCACCCTTCTCCGCAGGCCCCGCGGCCGTCCGTAGTGGAGAGGGTTTCTCCATCTACCCGCCCGTGCGGGAAAAATAAACAAGCGCGCTTACCCGCACTAAACGCAAGGCGCGAAATTTAAATTATGTTCGCCACCGAATGTGGCGAACCAGTACGATCTGTACCGAACAGTAACAATTAAGTAATGAATCTACATTGACTGACACCGACTTCAAAGTAATAATAATTGTGCAATATAAACATAACAGTTACAATAAGGTAGGTTTACTATTTTCAAGGAACTATTTCATTACTTTTTAGCGAGCGTTCGCACGGGCAGACTTTGTACGCCGCGGTAAATTTAAAGGTCAGCAGGCTTTTTACGCCCACGCGATAGGTGTTCGTACGAGCGTAAAAAAATTACTTTTGAATAGTACCTAGTGTTAGTAGGACGTGTATATGGTTTCTGTTAAATTACTAGCCCGAGGCGAAAACTGGCGACTGAATCCGAAGTCACGTAGTTATAGAGTAAACTAAAAGTAGACAGTACATTTTCTTTAAAACCAACATAATTAATATATTGTGTAGAAATTTATTTATTAGATTTCTATTAACCAGTAGCGACTCGTGGCTCGTGCCGCCGTAGCCTACAATTTGAATAGTTAATTGTAATCCTACAGACCAACTATTTTTCCTTTCATTTTAAACAAAGACATTTAAGAAATATAGACTAGACATATTTTCATCGGTACTTTCTCTGAAAGGTACTATATCAGTTGTCAAATTTAGAAAGCCGTGACCTTGTATTGACGTCTGATAAAACATTTTACAAAATTATAAGCTCCATCTTTTATTATGAAATAAACAATGTCACAAAATTAAATAAACATATAAATATGTTTTAGTGACACCAATTGGCAATTCATATAAATATTATATTACGACCTTGTTTTGGGGATCTATCAATAGAAAGCGTTAATGATTTATGTGAAAAACGTTTCAAGTGTCAACTATGCCTACTCTATATATAATTTTTGAATCTCTCTGATTTTATACCACCCATCCCTAACAAATCTTCAAGTGAATTGCAAACTATACATTTATTTACAAATTTTATTTTAATTTACGTACTTAATTTAGTTATGTATGTTAAAATATTACGATCTTTGTCGATTTAATTTCGTGAAAGCGATGGTTCCAGTTGGATAAAACATATTACAGCTCGGAATATGTAATAAAACAACTGTTAGCAAAATTATTTCTAAGTCAATGTGTTTATTATTTTAAACACATATTGATTTCGTGTTTTTAATTTAGTAATATATGAAAAGTACACAAAATACACCGCAATGACGTCACGCTATCACCATGACATTCATTGGTTACACAAGGAATATAAGACAGAGTCCGTGATAAATATCCAAATAACAATGAGAGAATCATTATGAGGGGTTTAAAAACATACCAAGTTAGAAGAAAGGAGGAAAATACGATCTGGAACTGTACTTTAAATGTTATGTTATAGGTAGCCTAGTCTTTATTTTATCAATACAATAACATAGTTAGGAAATCTTATTGGTGATCATTTTCTGCCCCCCACTATACTTAGAACTTTGGGATCTACAACCTACGACAAAGCTCTGATAGTACAATATATACACTTGTTAAAAGTTTGCGATCCCTAGCATTAGTTAATATGTTTTTCAAATGTAACTTATGAAGTATAAGTGTATATAGTGTAAGTATAAGTGGCTCGGACTCTTTTTTTTTTAACGTTGCGAAATGCGTTTACGCATCCCTCCCGTTTCCAGGATGGTATGTGGGACTCGCCGGCCACAAGATGGCTGAGTGACCGGAATACCCACTAAAACCCAACGATGTTCCTCCTCGGCGTTTTTGGGACTGGGTCGCGGGAACACTTGCGCAATCTTCCGCAACCCAGTCAGCGCTGTCCCAACTGGGACACTCCTTGATGGGGACTTTATAGTCCCCGTTCTCCCTCCAAGGCGCACCTGTAACATCGAGGTGCGCCTTCCTTCGCGTAAGTTGGTCACGGGCAATAGATGGTAGACGCCGGTGTCCTACCCATCTAGGGGGGCCGACGACGGTCGTGGGCGCGCTGTCTGCGCCCCAGTCTACGGCCGCGGAGAGGGTCTGCAGAAAAATCTTCCTCCCACCGCCGTTCTGCTGCCTCTTTCAGTGCCATCACCTCCTCACAGAAAGAGGCGATGGCGCACCACGACCTCTCGCTGCTCACCATGGCATTAGCGACGGCGGGCAGCGAGAGGTCATTCCCGATTTCTGCCACCAGTGCGGCCCGCTGGGTCGACCACTGCACGCAAGACTGTAGGGTGTGCTGTGCAGTGTCTTCCGCGTGGCCGCACTCGTGCACGCACCGAATCGCCTCTATCGTGCGCTGACTGGCAGACGGCGTGAGGAGCCGTTCACGCCACTTTGTGACGAGCTCGGTCTACGGAGGGGCTCGGAGCCTACCCTAAGTTAGGGTGACTAGGACATAGTCAACCACGCTGACCCACTGCGGGTTGGTTGTTGTTGTTGTTAGAACAGCTATTATACATATAGGACGAACCACGCCAAATGAAAATCTATACATTTAATAAAATTGGCGTGTCTGTTTGTAATATTAATAGAAAAATTCCAGATTTAATTTTTTTTCTCTGCTGGCTGTCTATCTGTCTGTCTGTCTGTCCGCAAGTCGCGTTTGTTCCGGGTAATCTCAAACGGCTGGGTCGCTTCGACCGGACTTTCCCTGATGGGTAGCTGACATAGGCAGGTTACTTTTTTTATCTTAATATTGCGCGGACGAAGTCGCGGGCAACAGCTAGTTACTATTATTATTGTTTAATGATGTTTATCTGTTTGTGTCGTATTGCTACATATGTGTTTAACATAAAGATAATAATAAATTAAACCTACCTACATACCATATTTTAAATTATGTTCGCCACCGAATGTGGTGAACCCGTACTATCTGTACTTCGGTATGGTAGGTAGGCTATGTTCGCATAGCCTAAACGGCTGAATGGATCTCGATGAAATTTGGTATAGACTTAGAGGATAGTCTGGAATAACACATAGGCTACTTTTTTAATTCCACGCGGACGGAGTTGCAGGCGAAAGCTAGTTATTAAACAAAAATAAAGAAAACCAAATAAAAATGTATTTTATTTCTTAACTTTTCATATCCTTACTTTAAAATTAAAATGTCAAATAAGCGGAAACATTTTAATGTAATGTCAAAATAATAGAAACTAAAGTATCAGTAAATTGCTTTTAATGTATTTTTTTCTTACAGGTATAGTGTTAATACTAATTTATATACAAATTTTAAATCACCAAAAAAAAATCTATGAGCAAGTTTCCCGCTTGCTGTGCCGAATGCGCGATGTGGTGTCGTGCGGCGCGAATGTGCCTCGCCGCGTGCTACGTAAGCCCCTGGTACGTATGCTGCTGCTACATACGCCGCAGAGGCCCCGCGGGCGGCACGGCGCTGGCTAGCAACGCATACAGCACCACGGAAACATGAGGTGCTTGCACGACGGCTGCGTCGCGGCTTAACGTTGCCGCCATCTTATCACCTAAAACAATTGTGTGTACAATTTATTACATTTTTAAAACAACAAAACATCCTGCACTTAATGTTTTATCCTCATCAGCTAACTATACTTCACAGTGACTCGGAACCCAAACGAAGTTAACGGTCGCTAGGCCTTAGGCAAACAGCCTGAAATTCTTGGCGGATAAAATTTATCAGGCTGTATCACGATATTTTTCCTTTACCATAAGCTGGACTTTCACTGGAGGGTAGCTGACATAGACGGGCATGTTAAAGGCTACTTTTCTTGACCGGACCGCTATCTCTTGAACGGGTGGACCGATTTGGACGGGACTTTGACTTACCGATAGCTGGTAGGAGGTAGATGCAGGCGGGAATAGATGACTTTTTTTGATCCGTGATAACGTAGTTTGCGGGCGACAGCGCATACTAATATTATAAAGAGGGCTTTTGTACATCTGTATGTATTTGATGCTTTTTATTTTAAGGAGGCAAACGAGCAAGCGACCGCCAAGTAAATTCGTCGAAATGGCGAAGCGACCGCTGCCCACAGACGTCCGCAATTGCAGATATGTTGTTAAGAAGAAGGTGGAAAGGAAAAGGGACTCAAATTAGGCCTCCGGCAGCACACATCAGGCAAAAGGCGGTATTGCTCCTACTACACGCCTGTCTTCTGTTTTGGCGTGGTATTTACACCAGGCGAGCCGGCCCTGCAGTGCGAAGCGGGCTTTACCACAGTTGTACTCTACCGACTCTACACTACTGGGCAGATATTAAAAATTATTTCAGCATTAGGAAGGTAAAGAGTAACACAGGCTATATTTGATTAATAATAATGCATAAGAACATAGTATTTAAATTGGACTAATAGTTTAGAAGATATCGCGAGCAAAAACAATAAAGGTAACCGAAAAATCAGCTTACAAGCTACCAGGCTTAGAAATTTGGAATCTTGCATAGGTAGATTTCTGTTATTACGTAGATTACTACTAAATTAATACTTTTGGCAATAGGTTGAAAAAAAGAGAGAACGTAATAGGTTATATTTGTAATTTCATGTAGGCTCATAAAATTGGTAAATCGAAACACACATTGGTGCATAGCAGGATTCTAGCGTGTAACAAGGGCGCCAACATGCTGGACATTATAGGATCGTACTAATTGCTTTACGAAAATCGACTGAGACGTACTTCCTTCGGAGACGTAGACGTAGATGTGGGCAGGGTCGGCGCCGGGCGCGCGGCACGAGTAGTTGCCGGCGTGCGCGGGGCGCGCGGCTCGCACGCGCAGCGCCGACTGCGTGCGCGCCCCCGCCGCCCCCGCCGCGCCCGCCGTGCTCACAGACACGCCCTGCGCCGAGTCGTAGTTGACCATGCGCGCGTTGTGGTACCAGAACACGTACTGCGGCGGTGCCGGACTCTGCAACGAGTTGCCGCCACATTCGAACACCTTTACATTCTGAATTACGACTATGCCTACTATCAAGTCAAGTTTACTTTTCCTCTTAAGAAAAAGAAGGAAGTGGACCAAAATTATGCGTTCGGCACGCGCGCTGATCAGACGACACGCGAAATTGCTGGCACTTCTTCTCTATTCAAAAAAAAAATGAAAACTTTTACAAATTAAACATATTCACAAATATGGCCCCACAAAAACCATATGAATGGATTGTCCGGGAGTGCGGTGTTACAATATTATGTATGGTAGAGTGTACTAGTGTCGTAGTCGTAGTAGAGTGTAGTGTGTAGTACAGTTGTAAAACATTTTTTTTATGTGTGAAATTATAGAGAATGCATACATACGTACATAAAATACTGTATATAAATAAAATATTCTATTCATGGGGTATTTCCAAAAAGATTCTATCTTCTGTGTGCTCGTGGTATTTCACCGGTCGGGCGCACTCATTATTGCCGCAGAAGTTGTTGTTGCCGGCGTTTACCACTGTTGGAGTGTAATTCATTTCATTCATTTCATGTTGATTCTTCACGGAGGGATCACTAGGTTGTATAGCAGGTATATGTTACATGTAAATAGAAGTCAAGTTTGTCATATTTTGTATCTACGTTTTCTATGATGCAGACGAGTGTTATAGCGGAGCCGGCGTCGACGTGGTATTCCTCGGCACCCAAGATGAACGCCTCGGGCACGAGCACGCGCAGCTCCACCCGCCGCGACAGCGTGCCTCCGCCGCCGCTCGCCACCTGCCCCACACAGACACCAACTAGACTACTCATTGAAGGACTGAATGACTGAATGACTGAACGACAACAACATAACAATAACGGCGCAGCAGCAGGTACATCGCCACGATCATACAACTCGTAACATTAACAAGTACAACTTCTGTATATAAAATTGATGCATTATAATACTTTATTTTACCTGACATTCGTAAGTGCCGTTGTCGCGTTTCTGAACGTATTTGATTTGCAAAATCCAATCGTCGGACCCGTCGCCATGAAGCACCTGCGACAACACGTTACATACATACGAGTAGGTAAGTCATTGTTAACATACTCCTCAAATTCATGCGAACACACGCTCTAATTCATCAGCTGGCTTCCGCACTGATAACTACGCAGTTGCAGTGGATAAATCTTTTGATATATTATACCATTCATGAAGATGTTATCGAAAATAATGATGTTATTGATGTAAATATTCGTGGTTTTATAATAGCGGGGATAGGATTAGCTGACCTGGAAGCGCTCGTCGTTGGTGTAAAGGAGGAGGCCGGAGCTGAGGATATGCCAGTCGCGTCGGCGCACCCACGACACCTGCACCCGCCCGAGCCCGCGTCCGCGCCAGCGCCCGCCCACATCGCAACAAACAACACCATCTTAACAAACATCTCCTACACATCACACCCTCTGTCATATTGCTGGGATGGCGTACAAAAGGTCCGTGTACCATTAAAGTCACACGGCATAAAAATCCCTTTACCACATACCACAGTTCTTAATTCATATTATGTGTCTCTCACTAACACTACTTTCATGATTCTCCATATACATACTTCGTGCCTTCAGAGAGCGTTAAACCGATTACTTAGTGGTGGCAGATAGATGGTCAAGGGGGGCTACTCCTGTCCTCCCCTGTGACGCTCATAGTGCCCTCTCCGTGTTCAGTAGTTTGATATCAAAATCAACTAAACATTCGCTCTCTGTCATATGTAATCTATTTTTTATTAACCCTTATAATTACCAAACACACCAATATACACAATCTCTCTTATAATAGTTTTGTAAAAAGTGACGCACGCCGCGTTCGCCGAGGTTCCGCACAGGGCAGTGCAGGAAGGCGACGCCGCCGACCGGCGCGATCACCTCCTCCCGCGTGCTGTTGATGGAGGGCTCGCGCCGCAGCGCCGCCAGCGAGGCCTGCCACAGCTCGCGCCACGCCGGCACGCTCGCCGCCGCCAGCTCGGCGGCATCCAACTCGGCGGCATCAACATCGGCGGCGCCGGCGCCCCCCCTGTTGGCACCTTGCCCGGGAGCTCCGACGGCCAGAAGCGCGGCGAGCACGGCCAGCAGTGCAGCTGGCCGCGCGTCGCACATCTTCGCCTACCGGCGGATACGCTCCCTGCGATACGAGAACCCGTCATTGGACATTTAGGAATTTCTTTGTTAACTGTTAAATGTTAAATTTAACATATTAAAATGTAGCTTGATTTTGAAGGTGAGACTACACCATGAGCTGCAATTTTGGTATGCCAAGTTAAAAACAAAAAAAATAAAAATTTCATCCAAAAAAGTTTTCAATAATAAAACTTGAAAAAAAAATACGAAGAAGACCACAGGACTAAAACTAATGAAAGATACGTTTTTGATGTCAAGTGAATCCTCATGGAGCATACTTTTATAAACACTGCTAATGTTATTATCTTTTGTACTTTTTCGAAAAAAAACTTAGATTAGATATATGTTTAAATACCAGTGTTGAAATAAACACAAACTTTCTCAGTGTCATATTCGGAAAAAATTACTGATTAACAAACTAATGAGGTTCTTCAAACACAAGGCAAAGTAAATCTTTGAAATTAATACCGTTTCCTCCCGTCGCGGGGTTCCGGCAGCGCGCGCTTCACAAACAGCGATCAGACATCTGGTGCGTAGCTATTCACCAAATGCCTAATACACAGCGACTACACAGCTGACGCCTATTTACAAAATGTCCATATATTTGCTAAATTCAACTGAATAGATTTGCTCTGCCATCTTCAAAATCGAAGCTACTTCCGTCACGATGATCTTGACAAACAGGTTGCGGCTGGCTTTGACCTTAACATACTGGACGAACCTCTACGACAAAGTGTTACCTAACATTAAAATATTGCGTATGACTAAATTCGGCAGATTACGAAAAAATTGCAATGTATTGTGTACGCAGGGCACAACTTAAAGACAAATTTACATACTAGCAAAAAGTATTATGATAGTAAACTCTCATATCAGGAAAATAAGTCAAGTCCAGTTTATGAGGTTCAAAAATATAACTATTTAGCATAATGGTATTTACAACAGCAAGGTGTAGCTGATGAGTCCGTATGACTTGTAACGGTGCGTGAGCGCGATGCTTGTGACGAGGAGCCCGCCGTGACCGCCGTGACCGCCGGCGACGGCATAGCAAAGAGCACTCACATGGCAACAAACGCACCCACCACAAGCTACTTAGATGTTACTCACACCACCCATTCTTCCAGACGTCACACTAAATATGTTCAACTACAAGCACCACGGCGGCAGCTGACTGCCGGAGTGGCCGATGGCGCGCTGTCTCGCCGGGCATGCGCGGGGCGCGGGCCACAAGAGCCAGGACTGCGCGCGCCGCCGCCTCGCGTCCTCACCTTTCCTCGCCACTTTGCATAATATCGACTTGTGAATGGTTGAATTATAGTAATTAACGGTCTCTCGCTATTCGCACATACATTTCAATCTGATTACACGTATATTTGACTATCACAGCTTCTAGAGATTTTGACAAAATTTTGTTACGATGGGCTCAGGGCGCCAGTGAGGAGAGGTTGTGCTCTAAAAATGTAATAAAAGAGGGATTTAAAAAATTTACAATATATAGCATATAACAACAAATAAATGACATTAATAAATTAATCTTACTAATATTATCATATAAATGTGAAAGTTTCGGTAGATAAATGGATGTTTGTTAGAATTTGCCGCCTGCATATGAGATAGTGGTCGAATTGGATGTGACGAAGAAGATGGGTAGGAAAATTTCTTACAGTTTACTTCTGTACATTACACAGGTGCAATATTTATGGAATAATTACTAATAGACTTAGGCGAAAAAATGTAACACAACAATAAATTTCAATACTAGTTTTTTCAATAGAAGTGGTTTCTTACGTGTATGATAACGTTAGTCTAAACGCAAAATGTATACATATAACAACAAGTTAAACGGTAACATAAAAAAACCGACTTCCAAAGAAAATACACGAAAAACAAAGTATTCCCAAAAAGACAACATTAACGAAATAATTGTAAACACTAGTAACGAAATAATTCCTTAAATATGTAAACGCCTTATTGTAGCTGTTATGTCTGTTTTGTATAATTGTTACTGCTTTGGCGTCGATGGTTTGTGTGGCGACGAATTGATAACCACCTCCTTTTAGAAATTGGGTTATAAGTAGGGTGCAGAGATGTAGATAGTGCAGCATAGATTTGTAAAAAAGTAAACAGTTAAAAAATTATAATTTCATGAAAGGTACAAAATAAAATCAGTGCTCTGAGAGGATTAGAGATCAGTATTTTTGACGAAAGGTATAAAGTCTTCGAGTATCTTGTCGCCGAAGCGGTAGGAGGGCGGGCCCTTGTGCGGCGCCAGGCGGTGCTTGCGCAGCACCAGGAACAGCAGCAAGCTGTACTCGGCGGTGGCGCTGCGCACCGTCTGCATCATTGTCTCCAGCTGCTCCTGCCGCGCGTCCCAGCTGCAGATGTTCTCTATGCATTCTTGCAGGTACTTATTCAACTGCAAGTATCATCATCTTGTCAAATGTGGCTCTATTAACAGATACATAATACTAGTAGTGGAGTGCTTCGGCTTCGGTTTAGGACCATTACGCAGCGACCGCTTCGAGCAGTCGATGACGTACGCATCGACCGATCGCCGGTTGGCGATGACCATACACGGATAACAGTCTGCCGTCGACGCTAAATGCAGTCGACCATACCTACGCAGTCCGTTGCTGCTGCTGCAGCAATTAGTGCCGAATTTATTTAAGTGGTTCGTATATGGTAGCCCTTTATGCACACAACAGTAGACAAAAATTATAAAGTAAAGGTGTCTTAAGACTTGCCTTGTTAGATGAAGTATATTAAGCGAAAGACACATGTCCTTGAAATTTCGATTTACAGATTACATTCGTTAGAATACTGAGCAAGTATTATTTACAGTTGTTGAACATACTTGGTTGAAGAAAATAATTATAAAATTTAGGCGACGCTCGTTTTTGGTCTTAGGGCCACCACATAAGTAGTGCATTGAGCAATGAGCGGCGACGCCGCGCCTTCAGCAGAGACCGGCAACTTGGTATGAAAGCACGATCTACTAAATCTCCTACGCCTGCTCTTGCCAAAATGTAATTAGAGTGCAGATGATTCTGCTTCGTTGTTAAGGATATCGACTGCTTGAGTCAGTGGTGTTTCGTCGCGCTTGATACTTAGATTGAGACAGAATAATGAGTCCCCATCATCAGACTAATGTATACCTTATAATTTAACGACACAGTACCTTGAGAACGCGTCTTTCTAGCAATTTCCTCTGTATCCAATCACAAATAAAAATTGCGAACACCAACAGGACAAATGTAATAGCAACAATGATATCGAATTTCGGATAGTCATCTAGATGCGCCCATGACACTGCTGCATACGAGGAGGGCGGTGCTGGTGCTGGTTCAGGTAGGCCTGAATGTAGATCAGGTATGTAGTACTGGACAGGGACTAGTAATAACGCCACCAAAACCGTCGCCGCCACACCATTAGTGTATCCACTTATCGGCATTAATTGACACTACCATCCACAACCGCTGTACTTAGTTCACGGTTTCCTCACTTTCAACAGTCATGATGTTAAGATTATGCCAAACAATGATAATGCCATTATTACTTGAACTTAAAGCCGAAGATAACTTTGGAAAAATTCGTTCGAGAGTTTTAAAAAAACTGTTGTCAAATAAAATTGACAAAAAGTTTCTATTCCTCGAGGCTTTTTCCGTCCAATTAATTAAATTGGATAATAAAAATCGCCATGTCTAATTTAATAGAACTAAAAAGCAGTTCTATTATATAGTTTTAAAAAAAACAGCTCAGTTCGTAATAGTCTCTAGTTTTCACCAGTTTTCACTTCATAGAAATCTCCATAGCATATTTATATACAGGATTATAGTATAGCAAGTTCTATAGTGTGTATTAATAATTTAGATTAGTTTGACAATTCATTTCAAATTTACGAGGGATGTTGTGTAAAATCAATCATAAAACTTATCGATTTTCGATTTTTATTCATATAGAAGTTGGAATCAATAGATTCATAGTTAACATATGAATTAAAAAATAAAAACACTGTTTTCTCAAATTAATAATGACCATTACAAATAATTAGAGTAAATAAATGTTTATTGCTACTACAGCCGTACGTAATCGAATTGGATTTCGCTATTATTTCTGTCATCGCTAAATTTTCTACACTATAATCAATACTAGAATTGTCCTCTAAATTAGATGATAAGAAAGTAATAATTTTAGTTGCGTTCGACAAATATTTAAACCGAATATCGATAGTTCATAATTGTTCGCTATGCGTGTTTGCGTCACTACGATACCTGTCTATTAAGTGCGGCATTTACCTTCATACAAATTGAATTCGATACTTCATATGCGTCATTTATCAAACTAATCTATCTTATTTAGACACACTATGATATGTTAAGGCTATTCCTCCCCTTATTGTTCATAGCAAAGGATATTAGTTTGGATAAAAGTTATCTATACATAGAGTCTTCTCAACGACAAACAAAGTCAAGAGAATTACCTAGTTTGATTTTAAGGTACAAGTATTTAAATATGAAAATTCCGCATGATTCTCTCTTATAATGTTAACTAATTTCGGTAGAAGCCCATCACTGTTTAAGAAATGATACTGCTGGCAACCCTGATTTGTCACTTTACACTTTAGTTATTTGGTTTTGTTCTCCTTACCTTTATTATTGTCTTAAAACTAGACGATATAGCTACAATGTATGTTACATTGTAGTTATCATGTAAAGCATAAATAAGGTTTACATGAATTCAAATTTTTTAAACACAAATTATTTCATTATTAAAGGTAAGCAGTGTTAATTTAATACTTGATGGAAAGGTAAAGTCGACGAGTCTTGAATTGTTTCACATTGTAGTTTCATTACTTCTGGTTCACCTTGCGCCTCTTACAGCTTCCGGTTCTTTCAGGGTCGATATTGATATGACGCAGCAAAGGACACTGCTATAACTTTGGTGCTTTTAGTATCCAGTACAAAGTTGTTACCATGAAGAAAGTACTGTTATTCAAGAGTGCTTCGGAGGACTACGAGAGGGTTTTCTCAGAACACAACTATCAGACCGTTTTCATTGAACCTCTCCAATTTGTGTATGTGAACTTGCAAGAGCTGAGTGAAAGACTGCAAAGCCCGCACTACCAGGGCCTCATATTAACTAGCCCCAGAGCCATAGAATCAGTTTCTAAGTGCTGGGCCCCTTCGAAGTTCGTGACATGGAACACGAAACGTATTTACACAGTTGGTGAATCAAGTGGACACAAAGTTAAACTCCTGTTAGGTCTAGAAGCTTTAGGAACTACAACAGGAAATGCAGAAAATTTGGCAAAACTTGTATTACAGGAGAATTCAAGCCCATCCAATCTTCTCTTTCCATGTGGAAACCTAAGTTCTGAACTATTACCTAGTATTTTACAGTCAGGAGGGATCTCAGTTGATGCTTTAACTGTGTATGAGACAAAGGAGAATGAGAACTTGAGATCTGATCTGATGAGCGTGAATGAGGATGGGGAGGTATGCTGCATGGTGTTCTTCAGCCCCTCCGGCTGTGAATATGTGCAGAGACAGCTGCAGACCTTTAGTAACAAGCTAGCGCACTTGCCACACTTTGCCATAGGCAATTCTACTGCGCACAAGATTGAGAATCTTGGTTTAGAAATAGCTGGTGTTGCAGCGAAGCCTAAAGCTGAAAGCGTTTTAGAATCCGTTGAACATTACTTCAGAACTTTATAAAATAATGTGTAATGTGTAACAAGGGAGTGGTTAAGAAATTAATTGTATAAATACTTAAATTTGGCTATGTTAAGTAGAACTATTGGGTGAAATTTGACAATAGACAAGTTACTTGGTCTTTATTGCATATACATTATTATTGTGGTGTGTGGGATTGTAGGGAAGTTATTGTTGAGGCTGGGAGTGTGGCACCACCCCACTCTGCCCCACTTTGCTGTGTGATACATTCTTAGATTATTACCAATGTTGACAGAATAAACTGATGTAAAGTAATACATTAAGTATATCTGCATCGAAGCATTCCTGTGTATTTGTGTAGGAGAGTTGGCCATAATGGATGTGTAATGTGGTAAACATTGCAACACAAAATAAGTGTTGGGTACATCTGTAACTTAAGTTGATGTATAATATAGTTACAAGTTATTTTTTTATGAAAAACATAAATTAAATATTTTCAATTTGCCTAATTTTCATAAAACAAACTATTCCTTTTTTTAAAACTAGGTAGGTCTTAAAAAAAGGAATAGTCAATTAACTAAAAAAATGTATTTAGTAATCCTGTATTCATGTGAATGTGTGTGTTAATAAATAAAATAGGCCCCTCGAAATAAAAACATAACTACCCATCTATACTAATGTTATATTTATATATGTATTGAAATAACTCCAAAATTATTGGTCCGATTGCAAAAATTCTTTCACCATTAAAAAGCTACATTATTGGTGGATAACACGGGCTGAATAACACATTTTTAATTTTATGCGGAAGAAGTCGTGAGCAACAGCTAGTAGAAATATAAAAGGCAAAGAAATAAAACTTATTATTGGCATACTTATTGGCAACTTAACATGGCATAGTGATAGCAGTTTATAAATCGATCTGCTTTTACCTCTGACTTCATAATACCACTGATGCACACATAGCCTAGAATTGTTGAGCTTCAGTTCAACAACTAAATTGGCTCACTCAAACTGATGTACTATTACTATGGGAACTGATGAGCCACGGACTGCCCGCCTGCGGTGACTTGCAACATATGCAAATCTTACAAACTGAGGTGATGGTCAAGCCGGTACACCAATCGCATCGACGCCTGTGAACCGTCAACCGATCTGCAGGTCATCGATTTTAGTTTAATTACACACGTATACTCATAACTTCTACAATTACTTGAATTGGATTTAAAATGAGGGCTGGACAAAAACAACAATGGATTGTATAAAAACCATATATTATGTTTCATTGTTAAAACTTAAAAGTTAAAATGTTTTGTTTAAGAGCGTACATTAGATAGATTGGGTAATGGAGCATGTCGGAGGTGGGAGGTGCGAGGTGCGGGATGCGCTCTGCGGTGATATGTACGTGAGCCGAGCATGCACATATGGAATACGTGCATTTGGTGAAACGAACTTCAAATTAAATAACGCGACACATGTCGCAGTGTCATGCTCGGAGCGCGACTGTCGCAGCTCAGACGGTAAACAAAAACACTTTCTAAAACAATTCTAATTTGGTATATTCAAAGGTTTTCTCTTATCTCTATATTATTGTAAATTATGTAATGCAAATAATTTTAGTAAAAGCGTTAAAATTTAGTTTACATTTGCATACAATAACATACGAATGTACGGTCGGCTACGCGACCAACGCCTACATTACATCATACATACACAATAAATATTCCAGCTACACATAACGTTACATTGTCGCAATACACGCTAGCTGGGCGGCGCCGAGCGCGGTTCGCCGAGCCCCCAGCGCGCGTCGTGCGGCGGCCGCCCAGTAGAAAATTGTGCTCAGATATACATATAAACAATCACTTATGAATACTGTATGGACTAGAACTCAGACTTGTGTTAAATAATATAAGCGAAAAATACGAATTCGTGATATAAAAGACAGTTCAGCAAATACGGTTACAAAAAGTAACGTCGAACATTGTATAAAAACATTTCATATCGGTTTTCCAAGAGAATGCGACGGTGTTTTTTGAACGATTCGGCAGTAGACGTTCATGAACACCATTACCTTGCCGTGAAACCACGTGGCCAACAAGCCACTCCCCTATGGATATTAAAAACATTGGTCATTTGGTGGAGGACAAGGCGGCGGCGGAGGGGGGCGGAGGGGGGCCGAGCTGCCGACTACTTTGCGCCGATACATCGCTGCGTCACATAACACTGCCACGTCGTAGGAGAGCCGTTTGAACACATTAATATATATAAGATTGTGCGTGGACAGGCAGCAAGAGCCGTCCTCCGACGAGGCAGTGAGGTTGCTCGGCGCCGCGCCCCGCGAGCTGTACACTCGATAAACAACTTCTAAATACTAAGCTGCTTACAATCCCTGTTAGATCCCGTCTATGTGATAAATAAAAAACTACTTGTCTTTTTTTATGAAAATCTGGATCATGTGTTGATAAACATTCCTATTTACTACAAAAAAATAGGCCTCCCCTCCCTCCCCCGCCCCTAGACCTGTCTAGATCTTCGGCTCGCGACGCCTTCGTCGCACATTCCCCTGCCATCGCAAGAGAACAACGTGCCTAAAGGTTTTCAATTCGGATTCGGCTACTACATATAATACAGGATAGTGTTGTACAAAACTAGTTTTTGAAAAATTACCTAAAATAACAGAAAACTGTTCAATTTTATGTCGCAATTGGACTCACTGGAGCGGGGAGACTGCGCGAGTGCAGTGGAGGAAGTGCACACACGCAGCCGTTCCATGAAATTGATACAGCCATTCTCCTCTATCACTATTGGAAGATATCAAACAGTAGTGGTCGCACTATCTCATGTTATAACTTCAAGAGTCTCTATTCAGCAGCTGGCCGGCACTGGCATACTGGCACACTGGCACACTTCACCGAGTGCTGCCTTTAGAAGTCCGTGGGCTATAAGGCGTGATCGCGCGACGTGGAGGGCTGCGGCTGCGGCACGGCGCGGTAGGCGGCGCGCGGCGACGACCGCCCGCTGGAGCGCCGCGAGCCCCCCGCGCCCGCCGCGCCCTCCGCGCCCCCCGCCACGCGCGCGCGCCGCACCGCGCGCACCGTCAGCCCCGCCGCCAAGCACGCGCCGCTCAGCCCCAGCCCCTGCAATGTACGATAACTCTCGATGTCACCACGATGCATCCCGTCGCACGAAACGAGACAAATTAGGCAACCTTATAAATAATAGTAAAAGGAACGTAAGTTAGAGGTGTATACCGCGGCGGCGAGCAGCAGACGCGCGAGGTGCGGCGCGGGCCGGTAGGCGGGCTGCAGCGCCGCGTGCAGCGTGGCCGCGCCGCCGCCCGCCAGCGCCAGCGCCGACCACGCGCCGGCGCACCCGCCCTGCGACCACACACGCCTTACAATCGCCCACTCGCCCACTCGCCCCATACCGCTTTCTTACAAACAACGCGCCGCAGCTAATGCTGCTGTGGACTCTGACACTGCAGATAATCCCATTTCTTACTGATCTTACTAAAATCATAAATGGTAAACTATAGATCAGAGTTCCCCAAACTTTTTTTGTCTCGTAAACATGGCAAGGGGTGCCATGTTTTTACGTGTTGGGTAAATCCCTAACTTACCTGATATTGATTTGCTGTAAATTTCTAACTGTAGTGGAGTTTAGTGTTAAAAACTTAAAATAAAAACACAAATTAATTTGTACATTTATTAAATGAATTTAAATTAAAACTACTTAAAATAATTTTTTTTATCTGTTATGTAAAATATATGTAACATAAAATAACGTATTTATTGACTTCATAGGTACTTTTGTCAATAATTTTAATAAAATTTTATTAAAATTATAATTATAATATGGTATGATAAGGTGATAAGTATATAGGTAGTATCAGTGTATGTGTTGAGATCCGCTATTGTGGACCGCGGACATAGTAGCTAGTAATTAAAGCTACTTTAATGAACAATTTAAAGTTAAAAGTGGGGAATGAGGTTAGTATAATGGGTACCAGCTTGTTCCAGTCGAGCGGCAGCAGGTCTGCGAGGCGCGTGACGTGCAGCAGCAGCAGCAGCGCGTGCAGCATGAGCGAGGAGAGCGCGGCCAGGTGCAGCAGGCGCACGCGCGCGCCGCCCGGCAGCTGGCCCGCGCGCAGCCCCGCGCCCGCCCACACGCAGCCGCACGCGCTCGCGCAGCACGCCTGCGCGCGGCACAGCGCTTGCATTACATACTCACTGCATACACACTTCCACAGCTATTCTACATTACATACATTCGTATTATCCAACATTTCATAGAATATCCGGTAAGTTAAACAACACTCATTAGGTAATAAAAAATAATGTAACCAACTTGTTACCATTATAACCAAATGTGGTAACATTATAACCAAAACTTGTTAAAAAAAAAGCAATAAAACCACACTGATGAAATGTATTATTTTGTAATTTCAATTCTCACACCTCTGTGACCTTATGATACTCCAGGGAAGAGAAATGAAAGGACGCCCATTTGTCAAAAATAATAAAAGTTAAGGTGGATTCTTTTAGTCATCGAGGTAAAAGAAAGGATTGAATTGGAAATGAAATATTGAAAGGATGATGTTAAATCATATGAAAAATTTTTTGGATAATTCATTCCACAAAAACAATATGAATTTGTTTAGAAGCAAAATTTACTAATTAAAAAGTGTTTTATCAAAATTCCCTCAGCAAGTTCTAAACTGCAACCCTATTAGATGAAGCAAGTTTTAGATGAATTTAATCACTTTTTGACTTTTGAGAACCAAACAAATACATTGTTGTTGTTAGAGGATGTCTTAGCATTCTGGCCATTGCCACACAAAAATGATTGCCATTTTATTTTATTTATATCTCAAGGATTCATTATTTTCATGTCCATTTTATTTTTGGTTATCTTATAACAAGTAGTAATATTAAAAAAAAGAAAAAATATGTGTGCATACTCATTATTACCTTCTATCTTTTAATGTGAATGAATTTTAGTTTATTCACATTCAACAATTTATAAATTATGGAAGCATGTCAAAATTCATAAGTTTAGCATGCATACACTGCATTATATATGTCTCAGTTATTAGCTTTGCTTTGTCTGTTCCGCACACATGATTTAATATTCATCAACTGGGAGTTTAGTTTGACAGGCAAATTTTAAAGCAGTTAAACTTTGTTAATCTGGGAGCTGTCCTTTGCGCTAAAGTACTGTGTTCACTTGTTCACCCATATAAATATCAGTCTTGACTGTATCACATCATCCTACTTTCTAATGAAATTCCAATTGGTTTAGTATGTTTCACAATGTATATTTGCAGAGCATGTTTGCAACTTTGTGGATTTTAAAAATTAAGTTGAAGCACATCATCTTATATTAGGGAATTAGTATAATAACACATACTCTACTTACACAGACAAGTGCATTGGCACATCTATCGGGATTAAGGTTGCAATGTGTCTGCAGGGCGGCTCAATTCAGCCTCTTATGGGGAGTTGTAGTATAAGCATGGTATAGTTGATCGCAAGTACTTTTAAATGCTATTTTTACAATGGCCGTTATAATATCATACAGTTTTGCAATTATCAGAGAACAATAATATGTCCCAATATAGAGAATTTACGGCTTAATGGCGTACCACAACAAGCAGGGTGAAAGCACCCTGAACAGTCGTTAAATGGCGCAGGCGACAGTAAACCGGCGCGAGCGGGCGCGGCGTAGGCGGGGGGGCGCGTGAGTAGTGCGCGTGCGAGTCCCAAGAGCGTTCCGTCAGCTCCGTGCCCGCCGGCGACCGCCCGCCCGCGCCGCACCCGCTTCCGGCGATCTCGAAGTCCTGCACCTCCTCGCCGCGGCAACTAACGGGCTCCAGCTCGCGAATCTCTTCCAACAACAGCTCCACTTCGTCCGCCGAGTACAGCTCGCTCGAGGACACGTAGCGCGCCGGCGCCGCTTGCATGTCACCCGCGCCCGACTCTACCGAGCGCCGCCGCCGCGGTCCCTCATGCGACACGCGCACACCGACACCTTACACGCAAACTCCGCGACCCACAACACTTTACCGTCAACCGCACTACACATTCCTTTTTCTCTCTCCACCGATGTCATAGATATTGATTCTTCTTTCTCCCTCAGAAGAACGCATAATACACGACGGGGATTCTATGATATTAAAGTCGATACGTAAAATTGTAAACAGATCATTCTGGCGACGACGCTCTATCAGAACGCCATCGCCATGTTTGTTTTCATATTTTTCCCCCACAGACTACATTAACACACAGAGTACAGTAATAGTACGATTATATTTCTATTTCTATGATGTCTATGTTTTTATCAGTGACCTCAAAAACAGGCTATGATAACTGGTATTTTGTGCCAGTTTGGTGTTGACTGTTGTGATTAGTTGCGGTGGTAGTGAGAAAAAGGGAATATGCAGGTAATTTATTTGTTTTTTATACGTTTCTACTTTTTTGCAAAATGGGGTAGATTCATGGAGGTAATAAGTATTACGTACAACAGAGTGTGTTCTATCTCTACATCTTGAAGTTAAAATAAAGAAAATAAAACCTTATGCTAAGTGCATAAAAGTCTTGTTGCACGGAAAATCAAATTAAAACCGTGTGAGAGGGCTACAAGTCCGATATTTCCCAATCTAACAAAATCTAACAGTGACCTAGAGTTGCCAGGCATCAATCCTTTCGTTGTTTGTAGAAATATAGGCAATGTAATGCAGTAAAAATATTTACTTCTAAAATGTTTCTAAATATTGATAATAATTTAATACCGACATATTAAAGCAGTATTATTTGATGCTACGAGAGTGAATTTTAATATTGATTAATGTAAATCGACCGTGTATTGACAACCCAGTGTCGCAATTTGGTCGCAATTATAGATTCGTCACTTGCCTACACTAATAGCGTTGCGTTTCAGAACTAGGCGAGGGAATTTAAATACAGCCACTTCTAATATTACGTAGAAAAAACAGTTGGTGTAAAACATCATTACCGCCTGTCAAAATTGGAGTAAGAACGGACTTGTCTATTTTTTTATTGGAGGTGGTTTTGTAAATCAAAATACTCGAACCAGCTTTATTTAGTAGACTAGCTGTTCCCGTGCGGCTTTATCCGCATGAAATTATGAAAATTTTATTTTATTGTTTACATTTGTCAAATCAATAGCAAATGTCAAAATGACATGACATGACATGACATACCTTAGCAATCTTTCTTCTTGATGTTGGCAGCAACTTATGGTCTCTTTCCCACATCAGGGTTTTTATCCAAAATATTTACCCCCTAAGTTTAATGGCGTGAAAATATATAGCCTAAAGCATGACGTAAATGTAAGGCTTTTTATTAAATAAAGAATTGTTCAAAAATTTGCTGTAATTGCTGACATCTTAGGCAACAAAGAAGTGTGTGTTTACGCTTTATTATAATAGTATAGATAAAATAAAATAAAATAGGTAAAAATAGATAAAGTATAGATAGATAAAGTAATGGTGTAAATTACCACATACGTTGCTTTGTTTTGGAACGGCCAGAAACACATGACAAAATAAAGTTGAATAAAACAATCAAAGGATTTAATCAAACAGAAACAAGTTTACGTATTTTAAACCCGTATATTGAATACGACGTATCACAGACCATATGTCACTCCCCTACAGATACAGAAACAGCGAGCCGGCAGCGGCGGCGCTCCTCGCAACTTTTAAACTTTACAAATCGTTTGTTCTATTAATCTTATTAACACTAAGTATCACGTAAATAAAGTTTGGTCTTACTTACAATATTAATATTGAAATTAGTTTAGCTGCGACGACCATATTCGACTTGCTAACGTATTATCGTGTAGCGGTAACGATTCCAGCGTATCCGCGGGCGGAGGGCGCCGGAC